GCATTGTCGTCCAAATTGATGAGTTTATCATTTCCAAGAAGTCGGTTTTTTGGAGGTCTCATGAGATGTGCGCAATTAGATATGGACTCTCGAAAAGAATTACCAAGCCGTTGAACATGTACAGTTGTTTAACTGTGTCCGGTTCTTGGTAATCCAGCCACTTTGCTTCGCATAGGGAGAATGCCTAGAACGCCAGAAGTGCGATCGATAAAGTCTATGGGATCGGTCTAGACCTGGCGTTTCTGAATGTTTACTTCAATGTTGTGCTTTCGCAGTCGTTCGAAATAAGGTATAGATACTGTAAATGAAATTTTCTATGCGGACAAGTGAACAAACAGTCATCAACATACGCATACAGGATGTTCAGACCCTTCGAAGTCATCGATGAGTATCTGAAGTGTTTTTGCATCATCTATTTAATCAAAAAGCATGCATGGAAATTTGTAGAGTCTATAAGGGAGTGAAGATAATCATTTTAAGAGTGTCGTCCGCAGCCTTGGATATCTGCTTATGCGCCTTAACCAGATCAGTTTTTGAAAGCGAAATTGTACCGTTTAAGGTAGCTGTCAGGTCGTGAACGTGTGAATGGTCTTCATATTCAGTCGGTCGTGTTTTGCAAAGTCCAGTATACATGTCTAGTGTCTGTTGGAATATGGATCGATCAAATGTTTAATCGTGGCCGAGCATAATTCATAACCAAAATATAAAGTTCCACAAATGGATAACTTAGTGTTTCGGTCAACTAAAATTGATTCGCTTGGATGGATGAGTAGATTTTGGTGTTATAGCATATCTATGCAAATGGCTGGCATCAGCAACAACGAAAACTTAGTGAGTGGGTATGCGTAAACCCAAGATGCACATACCTTTTGTCGAGTGTGGAGATTAATTTTTCAATTGCCGTCTGAATATTAAAGGCCTGATCTTGTAGACAGTCGTTCGTACTCACGGGAAGATTGCTAAATTCTGCTACACTGTCGGTGAGATAGAGAACCTTCGTCACTACATAAATGATGTGTAACATACAGCTATTTCGACCGGCTACGGTTGCTGTTAACGCGTGACAACGGAGAAGTTTGTTCGAATGTTTGTCGTGATGGAATCTTTTAGGTCTGGAAAACTGCATGGTCTCCTGAAAAGTCTATGGGACATACCATACTTAATAAGATGTTAACACCATCCACGGTTGCCTGTTTCTCGTGGTCTACAAACTGATCTCTTTCGTGACTGGCTTCTTTAGGGAGTTTCTAAGCGCCTGAGATTATGGTGAATATTAAGATTACGAGTGGCTTTATAACAGAGACCTGTAATGTCACCTTGTGTTGTTTAAGGCTTTTCTCTGACAGAAAAAAGCCTCAGTTCTGGGTGTTCTGGTGATCTACATGGTTCGGTTGGCAGATGCAGGAAGTTAAACTACGACACTATTTTGCAATGCAATGAGGACGTCTTGAACATGTTAGGGAAGCTTATAGAACAAAAGTTGTCCAGAGAGGCCTTCATCGAATATCCGTTGACTGATGACCGCCTACATACTTAGCAACATTTCTGTTGCCGAACCATGTTGTGGAAGAGTTGTCCAAAACGTTTTCGATTTTTTGGACCTCCCCGTCTTGGGATAAGTGTCATAAAGGCTCGGAAACATAGCTAGTAAATGTACTAGTTGTGACGTACCTGTTAAAATAGCTCGGAGCACCCTCACTAGTGCGATGAATTATTTACGTGATCTCGTTACACTTTGCCAGCATCTGCATAACAGAATGTAGCTTCGGCATTATCAGCCAAGAGTGGCACGAGCTGAAAGGTCGAAAGCGTAAGAGTCTTAACTTTCAACAGTCTAGGTGTTTGTTCAGTTATAATGAGGACGAAATATATAGATGGACAAAAAAAATCAAAAAATGATAAAATATCACGGTATATAAAAATGAAGAAATGACGTATAATGTTCTAGTCAAGAACAAATTACTTACTTACTTACGCCTGTTACCCCTCGTCGAGGAGCATAGGCCGCTCACCAGCATTCTAAATCCAACTCTGTCCTGAGCCTTCCTTTCCAGTTCTTTCCAGTTGCTATTCATCCTTTTCATATCGGCTTCTATTTCCCGGCGTAGTGTGTTCTTTGGCCTTCCTCTCTTCCGCATCCCTTCCGGATTCCAAGTTAGGGATTGAGTCGTGATGCACATTGGTGATTTCCTTAATGTATGTCCGATCCACTTCCAACGTCTTTTCCTTATTTCCTCTTCAGCTGGAAGCTGGTTTGTCCTCTCCCATAAAACGCTGTTGCTGATAGTATCCGGCCAATGGATGTTGAGTATTTTGCGTAGACAACTGTTTATAAATACTTGTACCTTCCTGATGATGGTCGTAGTAGTTCTCTACGTTTCAGCTCCAGACAGTAGGACTGTCTTGACGTTCGTATTAAAGATTCTGACCTTGAAATTGGTTGAGAGTTGTTTTGAGTTCCATATGTTTTTCAATTGTAGAAATGCTGCCCTTGCTTTGCCAATCCTTGCCTTTACATCTGCATCCGATCCTCCTTGTTTATCAACGATGCTCCCCAGGTACTTGAATGTTTCCACCTCTTCCAGAGTTTCGCCATCAAGTGTGATTGGGTCGGTGTTCTCCGTGTTGCATTTGAGAATCTTGCTTTTTCCTTTGTGAATGTGGAGGCCTATCGATGCGGAGGCTGCTGCTACATTTGCTGTCTTCATCTGCATTTGGTCGTGTGTATGAGAGAGGAGGGCTAGGTCATCTGCGAAGTCCAAATCATCTAATTGATTCTGAGAAGTCCATTGTATTCCGTATTTCCCTTCAGATGTCGAATTCGTCATAATCCAGTCAATCACTAGAAGGAAGAGAAATGGGGAGAGTAGACAGGCTTGTCTGATTCCGGTCCTTACTGGAAATGCATCTGTCAGCTGTCCTCCATGCACCACTTTGCACTGTAATCCATCGTATGAGTTTTGGATAATGTTGACGATCTTCTGAGGAACTCCATAGTGTCGAAGAAGTTTCCACAATGTTCTCCTATCCACGCTGTCAAACGCCTTCTCATAGTCGATGAAGTTGACGTATAGTGATGAGTTCCACTCAACTGATTGTTCAACGATGATCCGTAGTGTCGCAATCTGGTCTGTGCACGACCGATCCTTACGGAATCCAGCCTGATGATCCCTAAGTTCGGCGTCTACTGCGTCTTTCATCCGATTCAGCAGCACTCTGTTGAAAACTTTTCCTGGTACTGATAACAAACTGATGCCTCTGTAGTTCTCACATTGGCTCAGATCTCCTTTCTTTGGTATCTTGATGAGATATCCTTCTTTCCAGTCCGTTGGCACTTGTTCCTCTTCCCAAATCTTTTTGAATAGAAGGTGAAGCATGTTTGCAGTTATTTCAATGTCTGACTTCAGTGCTTCTGCTGGTATATTGTCAGGTCCTGCCGCCTTCCCACTTTTGATTTGTCTGATGGCCATCTTGACTTCTTCGATCGTTGGTGGAGTGACATCTATTGGAAGGTCAGTGTGGGCTGCTTCGATGTTCGGTGGATTCGATGGGGCTGGTCTATTCAGCAGTTCCTCGAAGTATTCTGCCCATCTTTTCCTCTGTTCCTGAATCTCAGTGATTGTCTTTCCTTCTTTGTCTTTGACTGGTCTCTCTGGTTTGCTATATCTCCCTGCCAATTTCTTCGTTGTATCATATAGTTGTTTCATATTCCCTTCTCTTGCAGCTTTTTCCGCCGCCGTTGCTAGTTCTCCCATGTATTTCTGCTTGTCGGCTTTAATGCTTTTCTTCACTTCTCTGTTTGCTTCTGTGTAGTCTGCTTGTGCTTTGACTTTCTCTGCTCGTGTTCGGCTGTTGTTAATTGCTAGTTTCTTGTTCTTCCTTTCTTGAAGTTTGTCCAGGGTCCCCATAGAGATCCATTCCTTGTGATGGTGCTTCTTAGGACCAAGAACCTCCTGACACGTTGAAGTTAGTGCTTCTTTGATCCCTTTCCAGCTGTCCTCCAAAGTAGTTTCTTGTTCTTTCAGTAGATCCTGTAGAGCTTGGAACCTGTTGTTGAGAGTTATCTTGAATTCATGGAGTTTGTCAGTATCTCGAAGGAAGGCTGTATTAAACCTTTGTAGTGCTGTTTGTCCAGTTGTCCAGTCTTTCTTTAGCTTCAGTCTCATCTTGGCCACAACCAGGTGGTGATCTGAAGCTATGTCAGCTCCTCTCCGGGTTCTCACATCTTCCATTGATCTTCGGAATTTTTTGTTGATACAGATGTGATCAATCTGGTTCTCTGTGGTGTGGTCCGGTGAGATCCATGCAGCTTTGTGTATGCGTTTGTGTGGGAATATTGTGCCGCCTATAACCAATTTGTTGAAAGCACATAGGTTTGCAAGTCTCTCCCCATTTTCATTTCTCTCTCCTAGTCCATGTCGTCGTCAAGAACAAACTCAATGTTTATCGTTTAGTGTACCAAACCACCTCGGGCTCACCACTATAGATGTCACAGATGTACAGGGTTTGACAACTCTTTTGTCTGTAACACGTTTACAGTCGAAGGTTATATACCCAGTCAGATCACATGTCGGGGACGAGTGAGTTCAAAGATATATTTGTAAGGTTGTCAATATGTTAAGAAGTATATTATCTAAGCTGGTTAGTAGTTGCAAGGATGCATAGCACAACGTACCCACTAGTGATCTGATGCGGATGCATGATTGAGAGCCTTCATCTAGTTGTCTACAGTAAAACCTCTGAGGTCAGTATCGATATCGAAGACTTGGAAGGCGATTTATTTGTGGGATTTTTTCCGCTACAATGTTTTAAAATGTTAAAAGATATTAAGTCATTGGGGATTGTAAATGTCCTTGGATCAGAAACAAAGCCTGAATCTGAATTGAAAAGGTGATAATAACACCTACTGAGAACGCAATCACATTTTTGTACTTCAAGTCGATTAAAAATTTATTGTGTTTTCTCAGTTGTTTTACTATGCACTGCTTCCATTTTTGTAGGTGTTATTAACTTTTGGCTGTTGTGCGATGGATTCGACTGACCCGATATACTCTCCTTTTTTCGGTGTAATCGGCGCCGTTTCTGCAGTAGTATTTTGTTGTAAGTCTGAGATTTCTCTTTTTTATATCAGGCTTGGGCGCTGCTTATGGGACGGCCAAGTCCGGAGCAGGTATCTGCTCAATGGGAGTGATGAGACCTGAATTAATTATAAAGTCAATTATCCCAGTTGTCATGGCTGGTATAATTGCAATTTATGGTCTCGTCGTAGCAGTTCTTATAGTTCAACGTGGTCAGGACTTGAAGAAACTCGACGTGTAAGTTGACATAACAAAACTTTATATCAGAACTCAGGTCTCTTAATCAGCTCGGTGCTGGCCTAAGTGTAGGGCTTAGTGGTCTTGGTGCAGGTTTTGCCATTGGGATAGTTGGTGATGCTGGCGTACGTGGCACAGCTCAACAATCCAGGCTATTCGTAGGGATGGTGCTCATCCTAATTTTCGCCGAAGTCCTTGGTCTTTACGGATTAATTGTCGCTCTTATTTTGTCTACAAAGTAAATTTCCTTACCTCAACTACTCTACTTACCCTGCTCTCTCATACTAATCAATTATGTCGAAACCTATTCTTTTGACATACTTATCAATATAACATTAATTTTATGTCGTCTGTGAAACTAATCCAATGACCTCGCTGAGAATTACACTCAGTGGTGATATTCATTTATCCTTCTACTTAACCGATCAGCCCATTCCAAATCATGTACGTCCAGCCGAATCCAATTTTTCTCATATATTGGACGTGGTTAGTACATTTTGATTATCATCTTTTTCTAAGTGATATAAAACTGCAAATCAGCAAGCTGTTTGTCATGTGTTTTATCTGTGACGTTTGAATGCATATTTTATTTTGAGTTAGCCTAATTTATTGCTGGATACATGCATAATACTTTTTCTTTGTGGTTATTGTCTTTTTGTATGTTAAGTCGATCCAGTTATACCAAATATAGAGTTTTCCTATCACTGAGTTACTCGTGTATCAACCAAGACTTCAGATAGGCTTCGATATACTTCACAGTCTATTTCGAACTGTTACTATGAGTATTTAGTCTGCAAACAATGAGTTCGTAGTCGTGGTATGACTATCTAGTCTTCAGCTAGTCAAGGTAAGATTCGAGTAGATCCTGGCAAATTCTAAGGGTTACTTCGCTACAGTCATTTAGTAGATAGTTCGGCTAATTCAGGGTCTGTTTGTCCTGTTTAATGTCCCAATCATAGAACGCTTACAAAAGTGCACTTGATTTATCTTCGTCTATGCGTGGCAACTTTGTTATGTACCGTCCAAAATTACTTTCAGTTAGGCTCAAAATTCGTATTGCCAATTAACCATGTCCCTTAGTTACTCATCCATATATTGTTCAAACTCCTTTATATAAATACATTCAACATGGTAGCGATTTAAGTCTTTTGGTATTGGATCGCTAGATTACAAGATTTAGTATCACTATATTCGTTGCCCTGATGATGGTGAACGGCTCGAATTAAAGTTTCGATTCAAGGGTTTGTTAGTGGCTGTACTTAACGTCAATCTATTTAAAAGGACGAGCTCATCTTTTGATTTACCGACTTAATCATATCGCGTTTTCTGAGTCTCTTCAGTTTCACGAAGATCCGACAAGTTTTTCAGAGGTGTATCTGTTCTAGACGAAGTTGTATAACTGTTGCACTCATTTAACTTCAACGAACCAATCCTAGTTGTTTCAATTTTGTATTTTATTTCCCTTATGATACCTACGGAGTGCTATTTTACTGTAAACCACCTATGTGCAGTAGGCGTCTGGTGTATATAATCGGTTACATCCTGAACTAGCCATTTGTTGGATCTCTTATGTGCGCTCGTTGCTCGACCAGACAGATCACGGATAAATATGGGTGCCTTGTCATCCAGTTTAAGTATTTTGATCGGTTTGATTGCTCAAAGTGATCACCTTATTTATCCCGAGAGTTCCAGTAGACATGATGTGACAGACACAGAAACTACTTTGTCACTAGCTAAATGCCGATGTCGAGTGTGACATTACGGTTCAATACACACTCGTCCCAATACACGATGGTCATGACAATATGGGGACCTAGATATTTTTGTCCAACTATGGTCTTGCTTACTATCTGCTCCTCTCGCCACTTACCAAACTCACTCTTATATTCCGGGACTTCCTTGTGTGCTAGAACGTTAGTAAAAGTCAGATTTCCTAGTTACGGTCTGCGTGATTATTGTGACCGGTCATCAGTGACGACATATGATTCGAAATTAATTCGTCCTCTATTAGTCGTACTTTGTTGATTGTCATATGAATTTCACTTCGTTTTACTAATGAGATTGGACGTATGCTCGGAGTCCTACTCTGTTTATGACTGTCTGACCCGACCGTTGCTGATACCTTGACGTAGTGGTCGGGCTTGCCTATCGTGATGAACTAATAGAGCTATACTGGCTGGAACAATCGTTCCTCAAGGTCCTACCATGCCAGACAGGTCGGTTGAAGAGCGGTAAGACTAAAAGCAGCAAACCCAAGGTCCGAAGGCGAAGTCATACTGCTGACTGTACAGAGGTGTGACGGCAGTAACGTGTTTCCTTCAGAAAACCAGCATAACAGCGATGCTGCCTTCCCACAAGGAGGGGTAGGGTTGGAAAAGGTCGACCCTAAAAATACACACCTCGCCTTATCCCACGGATATCCGTCTCCAGCGATAAAGTCCCAACAAGTACAGAGCTAGCACGGAAATAATTCACCAAAAGGTCGTGTGTGACCGACCTCAGGCAGTTGTTTCTTTGGCACTGCGGTCACACTCAGGTCATTAAGACCATTTCTAACCCAACTTCCTTTTCAGGTACCTCTAGTAGAACCCTTCCACGGTGTGGGCAATCGGGGAGTGATAACTGCCCTCATACCTCTAACAGCACTCAAGATCACTGTCCATTCAATCTTCTTCAATTCCTATTATTCCTCCCACCTCGACTTTCAATACTAAACTTCCTCCTCAAGTGTCACCATGGCCAACGATTCTAGTGATTAGAATGCTGTCCCAGTTCTACTAAAACATCGCTTCAAAGTACACATGGGAGCCTTCAACGTACGTACTCTATGTCAAACCGACCAATAGGCCTTCTTGGCTAAGACCCTAGAATCTCATGTCATTGATGTGTGCTATGTCTCTGAAACACATATACAGGATTCTAGTGTGGTCATTCACATGACCGCGCTTCGCCAAAATGGTGAGGCGACAAGATACACCCTCTGTATATCTGGCGACCCGACGGCTAGTTCTCGTGGACTTGCATATGTAGGTTTAGCACTTAGTACGAGGGTAGAACAGGCACTATTATAATGGATCCCCGCTAACAGTTGTCTGTGTTCTGTCCCGCTAAATGGCTCCGTAAGAACTCGGAAAGATAGGGACACACGTCGTTTCCGCCTATGCTTCCACTGACTGCAGCCCGGATGAAGTGAAAGATGACTTTTACAGAAAGCTCTCTGAACTTCTTAAAAAAGTTAAGCGCTCTGACATAGTACTCGTAGCGGGTAACTTTAATGCCCAATTAGGCAGCTTAAACCAAACAAAAAGACATTTAGGTGGATATTTTGGTATCCCCGCTCAGCGAACAGATAATCGTGATCGTCTGATGCAATCATGCTCAGACAATCGTTGATTTTTAGCAAACACTAATTTTAAGCATAAGGAGAGACATCGTCTAACATGGCGAGCACCTCTTGCACCAAACCAACGATGGACTCAAATAGACCATATTGCCACCAGTCATCGTTGGAGAGGCTCTATAGAAGACTGTCGCTCGTGCTGAACTGATCTGCGTCAACACCTGAACTAAGGATAGGGAATGAAGTAGTCGAACGCGTCGACAACGTCACTTATCTGAGAAGTCTGATCAGCCTTAATGGGATGGTGTCTGACGAAATCTCAGCACGGATTCAAGAAGCTCGTTTAGCTTTTGCGAACTTAACGCACCTATGGCGAAGACGAGATATCCGTCTATCAATCAAGGGACGAGTCCTGCTTCGGTTTGGGCACCCGGGCATTATCACAGTCCTCACACAAACCTCATTTGACGCTATATATATTTGGTGCCCCCTTGTACCAATATTTGTGTTCAAATAAATAAGGGACGAGTATACTGCACAGCAGTTCGCTCTGTTCTACTTTACGGCTGTGAAACGTGGTCTTTAATAGTAGAAGATACTCGTAAGTTATCAGTATTTGACCACAGATGCCTTAGAAATATGACTCGCATCTGCGGGGATCACCGGGTAAGTAATAGTGAGGTTAGACACGGGGTATTAGGGAGTGATGGTAATTCAGTTGATGAGGTCACGATTCTTCATCGACTGAGATGGTTGGGCCATGTGGTGCGTATGCCTGAACACCGATTACCACGACGCACAATGCTGACTAGTATTGGCGATGGTTGGAAGAGAGTTCGGGGCGGCCAAGCCAAAACGTGGCATCAGTCCTTAAAGTCACTAACTTCTGGTTTGAGCCATGTGGGTAGATGCAGACTACTTGTTTGGGGTCCGCGTGACTATCGTAACTAATGGTTGTAAACTCTGGGTGACATGGCTCAAGATCGATCACAATGGCGTGGGTGCATACACTCTTTGTTTTCTCTCAAAGCATGAGATTAAAATTACTTTATATCTTTCTACGAAGTAATTCTTTCTCCCTGTATCATATCTTTATTTGATATATTACTACGATTGAAGTAACTGCTTGTATGAATTCGGTGTTCATCTTGTTGTGCTAATGAGGTATGGCAACTTGGACCGATGCATATATGAGCCTGGTCCTACGTTATAGCTGACTGACTATAACTACCTGATAAACGTGCTTACACGTTCCTATTATTTATATCGAGTCATGGATTTCAGGACATCCTAAGTATTGCCTCGATAGGCTGTCAAAAATGCAAGTTATTCAGGAGCTGTTTCAAAACTTATGTACTAATCACTCTACTACACCAAGATTATGATTTACAACATCCACACAGAGGAATCGTTTTAGATTAGTTGAAGTCCTGAACACTGGGGAAGTTTTAATATTCCAGCGGTTCTATTCCTCATTGGGAATGCAGTTTGTCCAGTCTCATCATCCCATAATCCGCTCCTAGTTTTGAATATTTAGTCGGTCGCCATTACTACCTTCACGTCCAATGACTTGTTATTCATCAAGTGAACAATTATCTACCATATCTAATTGTAATTCCTACGATTCATCGATTTTAGATCGTTCTGAAACTTTTTCGAGATCCAGAATGCTGACGTAATACTCACTTTAATTTCCAGTGTATTAATGTGTGTTAAATAACTAAGGACGTTTTACACCTTTGCCAAGTGATATTGTAGTAATGGAGATTTCCACTGAACAGTCTTCAGATTTTGCGCCTAAAATGTTTGGATACTACTAACAACTACATGTAGTCGGTAAAAATTTTTGACATGGATTTACATGTAAGTAATTATTTGCACGGTTTGGCGTAATTGCGTGCATCACGAGATAAAATGACAGTTTTGTCACATCAAGCATAAATAATTGTAATATAAAAGATAGAGCTTATTAAGATTTTCAGTTGAGATATAAAATGCGACCAATGATGTCTTTCGTTATTTTGTTCAATACCTTCCCTTTTGTGGTGAACAGATCGGGAAACTACTGCCTTCAATGACTGAACTATGTCTTACAGCGTCAAGGGTTAATGAGTCCTATCTCAAGAACGATTTGAAACATAACCCTGCAATCTGACTTCAGTGTTTGAAAATGTGTTATTTTTTATGGAGTTAACATCTGAGCTGTTCGTTGAGCAATGTCTTTTGCAATGAATATATTAATAATTAACTTTATTTCCAATAAACCTGTGTTGGCTTTCATCTCTCATCTTCAGTTTCTGAGATGAGTGAGAAAATCGACTTATTAAGGGCTTCACGGTATGTTATAATTTGGGAAACCGATTGCTTGTCAGTTTCAACACTCAAGACTGTTCAAACAATAACTTCTAGCCTGCAATCCTTTGACGGGTTACCTCGCCTATGAGTATTCGTAAAACAACTACCTCAGCTTCTAATTAAGATGCTTTTAGTATGAATCTAATATAAACTGTTGTAAGTGGCTTATAAGATTTTTATCGTCACAGTTTTATTTATTTATTTAAACGCATAAATATTGGTACAAGGAAGCACCAGATACATATGCGCCATACAAATCTCACTCGATTTGCTTGAGGGCTGTGATACTGCTCAGGTGCCCGAACTGAAGCAGGTGGTTTTCTTAGGGGCCCACACCCGGAGCCTTTGACTGAAAGATCTGATCCACAAGGCAGTGGAGCATCGTGAGGAGATGCAGTCCCATGGTAGCCGGTGATCAATGATTGATTAGTATGCCATTCGTTCCTTCGGGATACTGGAGCCCATGTGCACCATTGGTTTGGAATCAGGGTTTTCCAGCTCCCCTAGGTGGACCCTCTGTGTCCACCAACCCGGTTAAAGAGCCGGACATTCGCTTTTCGTCCTCTCAATTTCGTAAACAACAGCAAACTAGACAAATCCATCAAATAAAAGTCCCATATCGTATTAGGGTAACTACAGTAATGTAGTTGATGCAATGTCATAAACCTTCATTTCTTCAAGTAATGAGTTACAGTAAGAATATCAAAACATGCAAATTAATCCAACCGATGAACCTTAAATACAATAAAACATCCTGGGCCGTATTCTCAGTCACTAATTAATGTTTGTAGTTGTTTAACTGTATTGTCGTCATTGTCGAAATCAAATGTTTGTCTGGGTCATATAAATCAGCGGTAGCTCGCTGAAAAATACCTTCAGTAGACCGTGGAGACTGATTGCTTGTCCTTAATATTTCCATCTAATAATGCAGTTTTGTAAAGTCCTATTGTTATTGTCTGGATGTGAGAAAATATGCCGCCGATATATCAGTAACCTTAACTTACGCGAAAGTTGTCGAAGTTCTCACACGGTAACTAAAGATGGGATTGACCAGTTTGTTCATGACTTGTAAGAGCACCCTTCGTAATTGATAATAACTCATCAGTAGGGTCTATATTAAATGATTGTTGAATAAATACAAAAGCCATAGACAATATTTCTGGTAATTATAATGTATTAGTAATTTATTTTTAAGGCAGTTAACTATCGTGTGATACATTTCCCCCCATAGTTACGTTAGATTTCCAATTTCATTGTGCTGTTGTGTTGTAAGGGTATGGTGTTTCTCATAGTTAATCACGATTCTCAGTTATGTGACGTTTTTTAAGACTAGTTTACTAAAAGTGAGTTCTTAAAACAATACACTCTGATTCAAGGTTTTCCGGCGAGTGCGTTTATGAGCACAAAGTTTACACCATAGTGATAATTGTTGGTCTTGTGCGGTGTGATTTACCCAGAACTGTTAGCCATCCGTACGCCTCCGACAACACAAGATCATCCCGTTCACTACCTGCGTTTTCTTACATACATTTCCTTTCTCTCTGGATTCATCTTTCACAC